CCCCCGGACCCTCCCGCCCCCGGGGTTGAACCCCCCGTGTTCCTGCGCCCCGACACCCCGCGCAGGCCCGGGGTCACCGTGCGGGGATGGGCCCCGGGGATGGGCACGGGGTGCGGTAGAGGAGGGGGGGGACAGGGGTGTTTGTGCTCCACAGGGGTGTTTGTTCTCCACAGGGATCTTCTCCACAGGGATCTCCACAGGGATCTCCACAGGGACCTTCTCCCCAGGGATCTTCTCCACAAGGATCTTCTCCCCAGGGACCTTCTCCCCAGGGATCTCCCCAGGGATCTTCTCCACAGGGATCTTCTCCACAGGGATGTTCTCCACAAGGATCTTCTCCACAGATATCTTCTCCACTGGGATCTTCTCCCCAGGGATCTTCTCCCCAGGGATCTTTTCCCCAAAGATCTTCTCCCTAGGGATCTTCACAGGGATCTTCTCCCCAGGGATCTTTTCCCCAGGGATCTCCTTAGAGATGTTCTCCCCAGGGATCTTCTCCACAGGGATGTTTGTTCTCCACAGGGACCTTCTCCCCAGGGACCTTCTCCCCAGGGATCTTCTCCCCATGGATCCTCTCTCCAGGGATCCTCTCTCCAGGGATGTTCTCCCCAGGGATGTTCTCCACAGGGACCTTCTCCCCAGGGATCTTTTCCCCAGGGATCTTCTCCCCATGGATCCTCTCCCCAGGGATCTTCTCCCCATGGATGTTCTCCCCAGGGATCCTCTCCCCAGGGATCTTCTCCCCAGGGATCTTCTCCCCAGGGATCCTCTCCCCAGGGATCTTCTCCACAGGGATCTTCTCCCCATGGATGTTCTCCCCAGGGATCCTCTCCCCAGGGATCCTCTCCCCAGGGATCCTCTCCCCAGGGATGTTCTCCAGGCACTCGGGGTGTGACCCAGGGTGGCTTTTCCCCCTGGCTCAGGAAAGGGAAGGCTCCCCTGGGGTGTCCCTGGGGATATGAGGAGGAGGAGCAGGGGGGACAGGGCACAGAAACCCTGGCACTGAGTTGACAACACACACCCGTGGCTGGGTCAGTGCCTTTTATTGGTGGAGCTGGGCTGGCGGTCCCAAACTCAAACTGAAAGTGAATCCTGGGCGGGATGGGGTGAATTTCCTTCTTCCTTTGGGGGTGCAGGGGGGGCTGGGAGGGAGGGGCTGCAGCTCTGAGCAGGGCTGGTTTGCACAGGGCCTGGGGGTGCAAGGGGTGTTGTGGGTGTGCAAGGGGTGCTGTCTTCTTCCTTTGGGGGTGCAGGGGGGGCTGGGAGGGAGGGGCTGCAGCTCTGAGCAGGGCTGGTTTGCACAGGGCCTGGGGGTGCAAGGGGTGTTGTGGGTGTGCAAGGGGTGCTGTGGGTGGGCAGAGGGTGCTGCAAGTGTGCAGGGTGCTGTGAGTGTGCAAGGGGTGGTGTGGGTGTGCAAGGGGTGTTGTGGGAGTGCAAGGGATGCTGTGGGTGTGCAAGGGGTGCTGTGGGTGGGCACACAGCACCCCCAGACCCACAGCACCTCCAGACCCATGGCATCCCCAGACCCACGGCACCTCCAGACCCATGGCACGTCCAGACCCACAGCACTCCTAGACCCACGGCACCTCCAGACCCACTCACCCCCAGACCCACAGCACCCCCAGACCCACAGCACCTCCAGACCCATGGCATCCCCAGACCCACGGCACCTCCAGACCCATGGCACGTCCAGACCCACAGCACTCCTAGACCCACGGCACCTCCAGACCCACTCACCCCCAGACCCACAGCACCCCCAGACCCACAGCACCTCCAGACCCATGGCATCCCCAGACCCACGGCACCTCCAGACCCATGGCACGTCCAGACCCACAGCACTCCTAGACCCACGGCACCTCCAGACCCACTCACCCCCAGACCCACAGCACCCCCAGACCCACAGCACCTCCAGACCCATGGCATCCCCAGACCCACGGCACCTCCAGACCCATGGCACGTCCAGACCCACAGCACTCCTAGACCCACGGCACCTCCAGACCCACTCACCCCCAGACCCACAGCACCCCCAGACCCACAGCACCTCCAGACCCATGGCATCCCCAGACCCACGGCACCTCCAGACCCATGGCACGTCCAGACCCACAGCACTCCTAGACCCACGGCACCTCCAGACCCACTCACCCCCAGACCCACAGCACCCCCAGACCCACAGCACCTCCAGACCCATGGCATCCCCAGACCCACGGCACCTCCAGACCCATGGCACGTCCAGACCCACAGCACTCCTAGACCCACGGCACCTCCAGACCCACTCACCCCCAGACCCACAGCACCCCCAGACCCACAGCACCTCCAGACCCATGGCATCCCCAGACCCACGGCACCTCCAGACCCATGGCACGTCCAGACCCACAGCACTCCTAGACCCACGGCACCTCCAGACCCACTCACCCCCAGACCCACAGCACCCCCAGACCCACAGCACCTCCAGACCCATGGCATCCCCAGACCCACGGCACCTCCAGACCCATGGCACGTCCAGACCCACAGCACTCCTAGACCCACGGCACCTCCAGACCCACTCACCCCCAGACCCACAGCACCCCCAGACCCACAGCACCTCCAGACCCATGGCATCCCCAGACCCACGGCACCTCCAGACCCATGGCACGTCCAGACCCACAGCACTCCTAGACCCACGGCACCTCCAGACCCACTCACCCCCAGACCCACAGCACCCCCAGACCCACAGCACCTCCAGACCCATGGCATCCCCAGACCCACGGCACCTCCAGACCCATGGCACGTCCAGACCCACAGCACTCCTAGACCCACGGCACCTCCAGACCCACTCACCCCCAGACCCACAGCACCTCCAGACCCACAGCACCCCCTGCCCCACTCACCCCCAGACCCACAGCACCCCCTGCTCCACTCCCCCCACACCAGCCCCAGGACAGTGGAAGGGAGCACTCTCAGCCCCTCGGAGGGCAGGGGATGGAGGGGCAGCCATGCTGAGGGTCACTCTGAGGGGCTCCACGTCCCTCCCCGTGCTCAACCACGGGTGTCCCTTCCTCCCATCCCCAGGGCTGAGGCTGCTCCCACCGTGGGGATGTGGAGGGCCCAGGGATGTGTGGGGCAGGGGGGGTTGTGCCTCTGCAGGTGGGATCCCTGGGGGTGTTGAAGGGCAGGTTGGATGGGGCTTGGAGCAGCCTGGGCTGCTGGGAGGTGTCCTTGCCCAGGGGGGGTTGGATCTAGATGGGCTTGAAGGTCCCTCCAACCCAAACCATCCCATAGTTTTCCATGCAGGGGGTTGGACTGGATGGGCATGAGCTCATGGAATGGGTTGGGTTGGAAGGGACCTTCAAGATCACCTGGATGGTCCCCTAGATGATCTTCAAGGTGGCTGCTCCATCCCTGGAAGGATCTAATGTGGGGTTTGGAGCAGCCTGGGCTGGTGGGAGGTGTCCCTGCCCACGCAGGGGGTTGGATCTGGATCATCTTTAGGTCATGGAATGATTTGGGTTGGAAGGGACCTTAAAGACCACCCAGATGATCCATTCAATGATCTTCAAGGTGGCTGCTCCATCCCTGGAAGTGTCCAAGGATCTCATGTGGGGTTTGGAGCAGCCTGGGCTGGCAGGGGGTGTCCCTGCCCACGGGTGACACCTCAGCTCCCTTCCCCACCTATTCCATGATCTTGCTTAAGACTCACAACACCCGGGTTGGGGGGGGGCAGAGCTGATCCCAAGGCTTTGGGATCAAGGCTGATCCCTTGTGGGATTCTCTGGGGTCTGTTCGCTCCGTGGCACCGGCTTTTCCTGCCCCCCCA